AGACCTCACTTTGCGGTACACTCCTTACGGTTAGCGAGAGTTCAGAAAAAAATTCTGTGGCTCTTTCGCAATTGGAATCTCAAGGAAAATGAAGACTATCCCATACATCGTACGCCTAGAGCATTATAAAATGACGTCTCTGATACGCCGCTGTGAACTCGGTAATTTCAGTTTCACATGGAAGTTATTAAACAATAAAATTGACTGTCCGCCACTACTGTCATCATTTAGATTAAGAGTCCCTGGCAGGTATCACCGAAGCACAATAACAAAGCCACTAAGCCCCCATTTCGCAGGCGATACATTTGATGTCTACTTTGATGCCCTAAACAGCATGCGAAATATCATCACATTGTCCAATTCTAAACTAAAATGATAAGATATTTATTATTAATATTTAGCCTTTACCTGTAAAATGACCATAAAATAGTCTAAAATTGCTTTGTGGGATTTTCTGATCGAAGATTGTTTATTTTTATCAAACGCATGGTATGCGTAATGTTATTTTTTTATTTTTAAGTAGTTGAAACTACACTGCTTACTTTTATAAACTTTCAAGTGTGTCTAATCTCATCTGCCTAAGTCTTGTAAAAAGGACTCAGAAACCTTTTGTAGCATTATTTCTTTTTGTGGTCTCACTCTTAGTAAAGAGTAATTGAAAAATATTGAAAACTAGTATTTGAGGGTTGTATATCTTTGTAAATGTTATGTATCTTTGTAAATAAAAATAATAAGTAATAATTTTGCATGTGGTATTTACCTGTAATTGTTTGATACATTTCTTCTTGTGAGTTAAATCAAGTTATAATTGTATGTAATAATGCATTAAATGTTAGTAAATAAAAAAAAAATACATTTACTTCACTGATAGCCTGCGCATGTTTGTAATGGATACCCAAGTAGCAGATGCCGTAGCAATGTGCACGCTCGCGTATTTTAAATACGTGCTTATTTATCACACGAAGAAAACAACAAAATAAAAGGAAAATGGTTGATGATTGCAATACGTCTGTATGAGTACAACAAACGGAAGTCATCCGAGGCGAGTTAAAGTTTGATTCGTCTAACATCGTTTAACTTCGCGAGTAGTGGTGAGGAGGCATCGACCTAGTGTTGATATTGCGAGATTGGTGGTTATCAGCTATTACACCATACTACATCCAGTGCACTAGGCATTTGGAAGGGTTTGTATGAGAGGAGTAATATATATTTGCGTTCTGTTTACGCTGGACTACATAATAATTATGTAATTCAGTCAGTGACGAATGCGCTGCTGGCTTATATGCTATTGAAGCTGTAAAAAATCGGTTGCCCTTCCCGTACCATCGGGTAATAATATTTTTGGAATATCTTTATGAAATTACATTCATACACACACTAGACGATGCTAATGGCTCAGAATGATTAACTGAGTCAGCACAGAGAGCTCAGGCGACATCTGCGGCGCCTATGTTATTTCATTGGTCAATAAAATAACCAACAAATGAAAGCGTGCTACACAAATCCTCCGCACGCGGCCATCATCGACCGATGTAACTGAGCTATATGGTATACTTCCGTGCTCAAAGCTTCTGTCAGATTTACACAGACCGACCCTTACACGTTGCCTTTACATTCATTTTTAATGGCACAAAACGCTCAAAATCAACCAACAAAACTTACCAAAGAGTCCATCTGTTTTATTTTGTCTTTTTCGGTTTTAAAAATTTGTAGTATATGTAAGCAACTGCACATAACGCACAAGTCGCCTTGGACGTCTGAAAATAAATAAAAAGTTGTTATTAATAGTCATTAATATATTTAATGAAAAATGCTTAAAATGCACAACAGGAAAGTAATTTTTGAAGAAAGTATTGAGTTATTTTAAAACTCGTAGATCGAATGTGTCCCTACTTTGTCGTGGATCTCAGAAGTGGATTTTACAAGAATTTTTCATTAAGAATATTTTTCAGTATAGCATTGTGAATGTAAATTGATCAAACACAATAATTTCTACAATTTCTGTACATAATATCCATATCTTGTGTAGCTTACGGTAATTTAGTGCAATGACATTAAAAATTACCTCATTTGTTGTATTATTATAATTGAACGAGTTATCTTCATGTATTTTAATTGAATTATACTTTTATTATACAATCGGGCTTGCAACTGCGGAATCCACAGAAACATCAAGTTAAGAACCGATACGCCCTACCGGTTTTCTAGTCGAAAGGCACATCTCCGTGATCCAAAGCCCCCAATCACATACATTAATAAAATTATAACAAAATTTCCTATCCTCTATAAGATCCTAATACGTGGAAGATGAATTCATAATCATACATTTTAAATAATTAGGTGAGAGTATTACTAACGTTGGCTCGTCCTCTGTTCGTTGTACTGTTGAAATATCGACTAAGGCCTTTAAGATTTGGATCATCTTCTACTCCATGACCTGCCATATTTACCGGTTTTTGTAATATTCGGCTACTTTGTTAAAAAATGGCTGCAATTTTTAGTTTTATCAAATTCTGTGCCCCAGAGATTTACAGTCTCTGGTTTGACACGCCTCTGACATGAACTGTGTCAATCTTACCGAGTGTATAAACCGTTTCACGAAAGAGTTCTTTTAGCATAACTTTTATTCCTTTGTAATGAAAGCGAAAATATTGTGATTCATTATTTGTATATTTTTGCTTGATTTGAATGTTTCTAAAATATTTATGTATAATCACTACAAAAGAGAATTTATACACTACATTATTATAAGTTTATTTGAGAAAATTAGTACAACTTTCTTATGTACTTATATTTAGTTCTACTGCATTTTTGTAGGCCTTTCCAGAGCTCTAAACTGTATAGCATTTCTAAGTATAAAGAAAAATATCTGTGTGGAGTGAGAGAGGTACTTAGTTCTGGATTTTTTTATTAGTGGATCGGTTATCTTATTTATTTAAACTTTATTGCACGTGATATTGTACAAATGGCGGAGTTAGTGCCTTTAGGCATTCTCCCAGTCACCCTATCAACATTGAGTGGAGTATAGTTGGATATCTTTCATGCTTCTGTGGGATATTCACAGATAATCTAACCTACATTGAGTTCAAAATGGCATATTGTGGTAACCAGACGTGTAGCCGTGTGTACTTATAAATACGAAATACGAAGTCAGTTAATAACGATTTTAATTTAATAAAAAATGGATTTTAACGGTTATTTAACTGCATTTTATGCTTTAAAGGGGTAGATAATGAATGAGAGTCGCTAGTGGAAATTGTCCACCAGAGAAGACTGTGGTGAGGAGCGTGGAACGTTAAGTTGTTTTACGTTATTAACCGCTTGGTTAAAATTTATTTATATAATAACCTGCTTCACGTCTATGAGATAGGCATAAATATAAACAACAATAATAATATACCGAAGACAATAATGTTGTCACGTGAATTATAATGTTAATATAAAAACAATAAAACAAAACATCTCAGCATAAATTTTAATGATTTAATTCATAGTATTCTTTTAAGAAACAGCACAAAATATTTATTTTACAATGGCTATTATCCTGTTCGGGCAATTAATTTAATTATTTAATTTTATTTTAGTCAATTTAACGGATAGTAGGGAGTAGGTATTTACGTGTTTCATTTGGAAACTGTTGTATTTCCTGGTAAAAAAACCCGTAAAATGTACATCGATTGAAGCATTTAATTTTTCGGCGTAGAAAAGATGTATTATTATTATTGTGTTTATTGACCTGGCAAACTGGTCTAATGTGACAGAAGAATACAAAGCAATGACCGTTCAGAAGCCTATGTATGAATTAATCTAGTAAAATTAAGAAATTATTACAATCAATTCTTATTATTATAATACTAAAGTATTTAAAAAATATTTTAATGAGGTTTCATCACAAATTAAAAACAAATAATTATATGTATTACTTTTCCCCATATCATATAAATTCTAAATAGCCATGATACTTTAAATGTATAGATTCTTCCACAACATTAGGGGTTTATAAAAAAAAAATTGACATATTTAATGTCAACCGTCAATATAATCTAATTGTTACAGTTATTATGCTGGTAAAAAATAAGGGTTGCCATTTTATACAGTTTGAAAATTTGGAGTTCCTTAAATACCCAGAAATATTTTATATTCTCGCTTCTATTATTATTTATTACTGCTTCTTTTAAAGCGCGGAAAAATCAAATTATGTGCGTCATTTTAGACCCCCTTAAAATTAAATCAAATTCGTACTGATGGCAACCATAACTAATAACCGATCGTTGATTTGACCATGTTGGAACTGTTGTATAATAATATTATATACAGTTTCTGTTTTCATTTCAGTTCTGCATTGTTGTAAGGAAACAAATATTCGCTTTCCCTCCAATTACATTACGAAATCAAAAACGCACATAGCACCAACACTAATGCTATCTTATCACACTACGTATTGTTTTTTATTCATCTTAGAATTTATAAAAGTACTGTACTTAAAGTGATGGACTAGTATTCATTATAAATGAGATAAGTAAAACATTCAAAACAATTGTCTTAAAAAATACTTTTATCAAAAATATATTATCAAATCATAGTGGATTTTATCCCAAATTTCATAATTGCACGCATTGCAAATTGCCCAGGTTATTTTATAAATTTATATATAAAAACATTATAATTACTCAGTAAATTGCCTGCACACCTTATCATCATACTATATGACAAGTCAGTACCACTTCTATTAAGTTCACTATACTTAAAACTAAATTAAGTACATAAAGTATCTTTGAAGAGTATTCATTTAACCTAATATTGTGTTTGTTCATAGGATTTGATAATGATAATTACTAAATATCATCCTAATAATTATTATCCTCTTATTTAGAGACAGATCACAGTTTAGTTAGGACCGCATTGAGTATCACCATGTTCTCATTGTTTTGAAACAATGAATCAAATCAGTTCCCTCATAGTTTGGTCCTGAATGCATAATGAAATGTAGAACTCATTGCTTATAAACAGAGATCTTCTTCCCAATCTTCTTTTTCTCTTTCCGAAACAGAGACTGATGGCCGGGAAAGTTGTTTCAGTTCTGTGTGCATCCGTGGAGGGATTGGGTTGTCACTGAGGTCCACATATTCAAGGGCACGCGATCTTGCTAATCGGTCTACATCCACCTCTGTAAGGCATAGTAAAAATACATTGACATATCTGTTATGTCGAAAAACACGATTATAGGTAATTCATAGTTTAAAAAAAAAACTTTAAATTAATGTTAATTAAAATATGTTCAATTACCAATAATTTGGTTGTGATGGGCCAAAAGTGTATGTAGACTTGGACATTGGCAGGCAATGTGTGGGAGTGCGACAAATGTGTTATGGGATATGTCAAGTCGCTGCAGGCACGCCAGGGTGCACAGCTCATCCGGCAACTTCGCCATTTGGTTGTTTGATAGGTTTAGATCTGTAAATAGATTACAAGAGTTTTAGATTACAACATATTTTAAAATGCGAGTCATACTGAAAATAACCCACATATGAAAAGGAATTCTCAAACACTTATTTACTAATCATTGTATTTGAAAAAAACTTTATAATCAAATAAGGTGAAAGTTTACCTGTAATTAAGCTAAATTTAACAGCAAACTTAGGAGGTATCTTAGTAATGACATTTCCGCTGAGATCACAGCTCTTGAGCTCGGTGTGTCGCATGAGGTGATATACGGCATCAGGTACTTGCATCAGTTGACATTCAGATAAGTCTGCAACAATTGAAAAATAAATTAATCAATTGTAGCAATAATTGGCTTACATAAATTATCATAAGAAATTAAGAGATAAGAAAGTAGCTCACAATTTTATTAAATAAAAGTTATTACATAATATATAATAGATATTTATGTATAAAAATAGAGAATGAGAATATTTTTATTAATTTAAGAAACAATATTTCAATACATCAATTTGAGGTGTCACGGTATGTATAATGAATCAATTGTAAAAGAAAATTGCAGTCACAATAAAAGTATACTATTCATAGTAGATTGATGACAGGGTTAGATGGGTATTGACAGGGTTCTTAATAGTTAAATCAGTACTCATTGGCTTGTTAGTAATTTAAAATTAGAATGGATTGTTCATAATTAGTAAAGCATTTGGAGCACAACTAGAATACCAGTTATTGGAGCAGAATATGACTTTGCATCCAACACCAATAGAATTTATTACACAACTTGATACTAGAAATGAACGATTACTTTAACAATTATATTATAGTGCTGTAACGATGCTGGACCTCTAAAGCTTTTACCCCCTGGTGCAGATTTGATCAGGAACTTGTTTTTCTTTATTTGTGGAGGTAAGTGCTACAACTAATATGAATTATGTCGCAGCAGCTTATTCAATTATACAAATATGTTATGTAAATGATAATATGAATAATAACTACCTAAAACCTGGGATTCCTGAGCATCTTCACATCTGAGAATCACACGTGTCACAGCGAGAGCCATTTTAATGTTTAACTCGAAATCTATTTGCGGGATATATTCACGTACTAACTGTGCGGCCAAGTGTAACCTACTGCCGCTAGAGTTATTTATAAAACAATGATGATGTTTTATGGGATCATATAACGCAGCTCCTCAGCATCGTTTCGCTATAATAAGTGAACCATAAGTGAACCATACATAGTTATATATTTAACCAATGTATTTAAGTTTTACATTTTATTTTATTTTAAAATAGAATATGATTTCCTAATTTTATGAGAGTGGATAGATCACAAATATATTTTCTTCATCTATTTAATGGCTAATCTGCGCGTCTGGTAAAATTATACCAATGTCAAAATATTAAAATAATTAAATTAATTTCTACGCGTACAATAAAGCGACATGAATGAAAATAACCAATCAAATAAAAAAACAAATTGAGATCAGCCAGCTGTTTCTTTAAATGATGATGGCATTTGATGATTGTCAAAAAGACATTGATTTTAGAGTTTTAGTAATGTAGTTTCGTTGAAAGAAAAGGAACTTAGCCTATACAGCCTATTATTTTTTGTTATCTACTTTCACTAAATTGCATTTTAAATGTTTAAACCCTTTCGCTGGCATAGGCAAAATACTTGCCAGCAGATATTTTAAGCCTTGGCGATTAAAAGTTAAGCTAAATGTTAATTGTTTTATCATTGATGCCTAGAGCCAACGATGTTAAACGTCGGAAAACCATTTACAACCCATTTTAAAGTATGCTAAATAGCTTTGGTTTGAATTATATCCCCGTCATGTGATCACAGCAATCAAGTACCGTACTTATTCGATAAAAACATTTCCAAAATCACTGTGAGAAAAGCAAGTGTCAGTCTGTTTTTATTAAGCTTAGGCTTTGTTCTAAACGATTTTATATATTATCTTTTTTTTTTTACTAGATATTAATATGTATAGATATTTGACCTTGCCATTGCCTTACTAGTGGTAAAATATTTATGCCTGATATATAATAAATTCCTTTTCAGCTACATTGTAATTGTAAAAAAATATCTACCAAAGAATTTATGGAGCTGATTGTCGTACCGGACGATTTAGGATCTGAAGATGATATAGCTAATAACGATTAAAATGATGAAGATAGACATTCTACCACAAATAGCATTACTTTCTCTCAGCTAGATAATTTTCAACTTATATTGCTGGTCACCCAATAAAGAAAAAAGTAAATTTAAGTAGTAACCGATACAGTATCGAGTAAAAGTATCAACACCTAGGTCGTATCGTTTCATCCCCACGGGGCCCCCATCCAACCGATGTCGATTAGACGTTCTATTTAGGTAAGCAAATGAAAAAAGTATTTAAAAAACGAAGGCATTAAAAAAGCACCTCCACTAGATGGCGACTCTAGCAAAAGTTGATTTTTGCAGGAAACAACGGACCAAAGACAGTCATTCGTTCCTTTTAACTAACATATTAAAAAACTGATTTTTTTAAAGTTCACAACTCATATATCATCACAAACACCAAAAAGTACAAATAGAATATGAGTTGTTTATTAAGTTTTGAAAACTATTTTACTTTTAAACTTGAAAGAAAACCGGAAAGGTTATCATGGAGAAATCAAGGACGTACTATTTCTAGTTCATCGTCTAGTTTGATTTCGGAAACTATTTTTTTTAATACTTCTTCATTGGTAATGAAACTTATTGTGCGCGATGTAGGGTTCCTTTTTTCTAAATGACTTGTAGTATCTTAATTTACAATGTTGTAGTGTTACAGCGCCATCACGTTACTGGGTGTTGAAACTTCTTGCAGTTCGTCTTCCTATCGATTGTTGTGGTGATGCTAGCTTTCTTGTTATCGATTGTTATGGCGATGTGTTAGATTTTGCTATGTATCAATTCTAGTACTGTACTGTCTTGATTGCTTCATTTCGCACATGACTATCACCACGGGGCCCCCATCCAAGATACCATAGATAATAGATACATAATACCATGTTATCATTATCTCAAAAATATTAGAATTTGCTGTACGAACTGACAAACAGGTGTTATTCCGCCATATAATAATGAGGACCTTATTTCCGAACACTGTTTTTTGAGTTAATACTATTACTATGATTTGTTAACTATACAATCTATTTCTCTTAGTAATGGAATTAAGATGAATCATCATCACACTAGGAAACAACGAACAGTAACCTCTTAAAGGTTTACTATGTATGGCATAAATGTTGTAAGGTCAACAAGTGTGTTGGTTTATTTTACACGAAACGCACGCGTCTCTCGAGATGTTCTCGCTTGCTCACGCGACAGTATCATGCTCGCCTTCCGCATGTCTTGCAAAACCTATACAATACGTTCTTCCGCGTCTTGATATGGTACAGGGAATTATTTTTTAATGTAATTACTATACTAAGTTACTTAACAAAATAGCCTTTATGGTAATCCAGATAATAAAAATATACGGTTATAAAAAGTTACTTAGAAACTCTACATTTTTGTATTTTATATCCTCTAAAATGGACTAAATAATGTTTCTTATTATGAAGATTCAAGTCAACAACAACAAAAAGACTCCGGTTTCAAAGTGTTATAATTTCTATGGGTTCACTGATTCGATTCCCAGTTAGATTGACTAGAAAATTAACTTTTCTATAATATTTCGGGTCTGAGTGATGTGGTAAGTTTCATGTTTCAGATTTCCATAAAAGAGATTTATACTGCCTACATTAATCCTAAACTCTGTGTTTTGTTTTACCTACTTATAAAATACAATGCGCAACTACAAAGCATTACTTTTGACCTCCATTTACCGAAAATAAGTAACTTAGTACATAATTTATAATCTGGAAATGAGTCGATAGTAGTAACATCAACAAACTCATAATTTTAGCTCATCGTTTTGGAAAACACAAATGTTTTGCGCAGTTTGTTTAAAGAGACGATCTCAGCAAAGAAATACGGCTTTATGTTGTTGTCTAATAGAAGTGTGAGTGTCAATTTTATCCTCAATATTTAATAATGTATTTGAGACCTTTTATTTATATGTATTATGCAGAAAGCGTTTATCTATTTTTTATTGTTAAGATAGGGTTTTAAATCTTTCTCATCCCTTTTGTTTAAAAATTTGCTTTCATCGTTGCACGGTATTGGTGTCAAGTTTACTTGTAGGTGCATTAATTAAAATACGTACAAAATTATAATCTGCAACAAAGGCTAATAACATTACATATTAAGCCAAGTTCTGTTAGTTTCACAATTTTATGAAAGCGAACGCTCGGCTCATAAAACCTTGCGCAAATAATAAAATAAGCCACGTGAATATACTTGGGTATTCTTTTGCTAGAGTATTAGTATTTTTTATGTCTTACTGTGATCGTATTAGAGCCTCAGTTTCAATAACTGTCTGGAAATGATATTGCGGTTGACGAACTATTGAAGAAATAATATTATAGGCTCACGATTACTACGATGTAAAAAAAACCTTCCGTACATAACTAGAAAGCGGTTACGAGGTATTATTAGCGGCAGGTAGTTAGAAATGAGACTGCTCTGTTTTATACTGTAATTTTTCTAGTAGACAATGACACAATCATAAACATGATAATATGGAGTACTATTTCAACTGTTAGATGTGATTGTTGGCATTAACTGTGGCTCTGAAATATTTTTATTTATTTTTTTTATTTATTAAACTTTATTGACCAATAAAGATGGTACAAAAGGCGGACTTAATGCTAATAGCATTCTCTGCCAGTCAACCTTTGGGAAAACAGACAAACGCGATGGCGGTACAGAGCAATAAAAATAAAAAACTACAACAACAAATACTAAACTAATCATGAACATACTACAACATACTTAAAATATAAATAATATTACACATAATTACATACATAAATAAACACACACACACACACACACGTCAATACACAGATGATGATGACAATCTTCACAAGCCTTGAAACAGAAAGGAGTGAACTTTTTTTTTGAAAATGTTTTTATTTGGCGATCTTCTGATGGAATCGGGGAGGCTGTTCCACAGTCGAATTGAATGTAGTGTAAATGAGTTGGACATAAAGCCAGTGTGAAAAAGGGGAGTGGAAAGTGAGAGAGAGTTTGAAGAACGCAGGTGACGACCATGAGTGTCAGAGAGATATTGAAATTTACACTTTAAGTACTCTGGTGTATGAGGATTGGAAAGAATAGAGTAAAGTGTACAAAGCAACCGCAGATGCCTCCGCTCTCGAATAGGAAGCCATT